ATCATTAAGAAAAGAAAACTAAGAAACAATATACTACCTTTACAATGTGCCAGAATTTCTTCAGTACTAATTGTTTTCATAACTGGATTTCTTCCACACTTTACCAACACATAGTTTTCTTCTAAGGACTGTGTATCTAGATTCTTTGTGATCTCCTTGTCCTTAGTATTACTAGAACTATTATGAGGATTCTGGATAAACGATTAAGTTAAAGATTATTTGTTTCAGATATACAAAGTATCATTACATGGCAATGTATAATTTTAAAACATCATACCTGGTCATGCTTTTCTTGTTCATATAAAGGGAAAGATTGCAATATTTTTAAAATAAGGCCATCTGTGTCACCAAAAAACCTAGGCAGTTTAACAGCAGATACAACTACTACACCACCATCTAATGTGAAAGACCATACTTCTTTTCCACTGGACAAACAAAGACCAATAACCTAAAATGATGACAAGAAATTTTGAGACTCCAAAATATATAAATCAGATTTTTAATTTATTGTTTAATAAACCATTTTACCTTAGAATGTGATGCATTTCTACTTGAAATAACTAATTGAGTACTGCCTTCAACAAACTGTCCATCCATGATGACACTATATATAATAAATGAAATCGATATAAAAATTATAACATTAAATCAAATGTGTTAATTGGTGCTAAACAAATAATTTCAATAATACATACTTACGGGGAATAAAAGAAATTCACAGATTAAAAAACAATCACAAAATTAAATATCAAAGCATTTGACACTACAATTTAAAATATAAAATGCATAGGCATTTTCTGTAAGATTAATTTTTCTGCAAATCAAAACGTTTGAAAAATTTTGAATTTATTATTTTTATATTTCCTTTGAATTTATTCATTTATGTATGCCTAAAGCTTTCTTTTATGTGGTTAAATGCTATGATTCTGCAAGCTTGCTATTCTGTCTCATGAAAATATTAAATAAAAACCCCACCTTTAGAAAATTATCAGAATTTTGAACTTTGTAAGCATTCTTTTTTAAACTGGAAATGCGGAGTAATGTTATGTTGATCATGGGCTAAGACTATGCATTCACCAAATTTTAATCATGCAAGAAAGATAAATACAGTACACTGAGTTTTGAAACTTCCTCTTCGTAAAAAATGGAAACATTGGTTTATGGGCAACATTAGCCACACAACAAAGCCACACATAGTCTGAGGTAAAATTGTTGTGATTAATTTCAGTAATGTGTTCTGTGGGAGACAAAACGTGGTAAATGAACAACAATTTTTTCCAGAATATAAATAAATGAATAATTTATTATTGCAAAAATTCTATATCTAAAATTAATTCTATGCCAAAAATGCTTAAGATTTGTCCAAAGGCCTGACATGTATCTAAATTCAAGAATTGATAACACTGTTTATTGAGTAAAAAACTTCACATGCCATCAAAATATGATTTAGAAGAACTTTGTGGTAGGGAGTTGGTGGAGGCAAAATGGTTGGCTTCAAGGCAGACAGTATTCTCTAGAAACCATTTAAAGACTGAAACTGTTCCTACTAACCTGGGATAAGATAGTAGATGCAAAACTGTTTCTCAAGATATCTGCCTGTATGTTACTGCCGTATTAGCCGAGTTTCAGAGCTTGCATCAACCATTTGAAATTTTGCATCATAGATAATTAAAAACAGATGGCCTAATAAGAAAGGCCTACATAACCACAAAACCTATGGTTCACTAATCTGCAACAAAAACTAATATTAGGGAATATGACCATCACAGAAGCACTGATGTGATGTTATGGAAACAAAAAGAGATCAACAGGTACATTGCCAGCATGCATTCAACAGATCTGTGTCCAATTACAGAGATATCAAGATGTACTTTAAAGGCCCATTTAAATGAGGAGACAAAGTTGCTGAGTGACACAGTAGTCTCTCTTTGCAGACATGTCACTTAACAGCATTTTGTCTCATAGGCAGGTATATAAGTTTCTCTGAGCTACTAAGCCAATCACAGCAATCAAAGCAAATGATGTGATTTGCATCCAAAAGGAGACTCCACCAGTCTCAACAATTATAATTTTCAAAGTCTCAGTACCTTTATTTTAGAGGCTTAATTTACAAAATAAGTTGTAATAATATTAACAGTAATAATAAACACGACATTTAACAGCAGACAGACAGTAACAGTTATTAAAATGCCAATAAAAATGCAAAATCTGAAAAACAAATAAAAACATAAACCATATACATGTAATAACAAAAACTGTAATTATCTTGATGACTGGTTGATAGCTGTAAAAGATTTGAGCAGTTGTTTTGGTGCATAGTTTGATGATGCATAACGAAGCACAGACGTATAGGAGTGTCCGAATTGAACATAATTTTTATTGCTTGACACGAACTAACTATGGAAAAAATATTCTTCATTGCACGTGATCATGGGTGCAATAAACACCCCACAATGTTATACAGAGTATCGCATTTTAGATAGCAGTGTAGTTAGCCAAAAGGCAAAACAAAGAGTTACGTGGAAGAATAGAGGCAAAAGAGAGAGAGAGACTGCACAGCAAAGACCTTTTATCCCATATTACATTTCAGATCATATGACAGATTAATATGTTGGGTTAAGATTAAGTGCATAATACAGACTAGCTGACTGATCTTTTTCAGAATTACAGCGAGTAAAGATTACGTGAGAAAAATTATTGCTTTTTTATTTTTGGAATAAAGGGAGGATAATATATATATATATATATATGATTTTTTCAATCGAATTGATTGTTATGAAATAAATAGATTACTTAATGTAGAGCAATGGTATTCAAACTTTATGGGAATCAAATGGGATCACAACCCTTAGTTTGAATACCGCTAATACAGTGCATAAAATATAACATATATTACTGATAATTAGAATCATAAAGCATCATTTTAAGCACATGAAAAAGGAAAAACAAATTCTCTCACTTTAAAAATGGTGTAACAATTTAACTTTTATATTTATATATAACTAACACAAATTGATTATGTAAATGATTAATCAATAAAAATTTTATGTGTAATAATAAAATAATACAAAATTATTGTTACCTGTAAAAATTTTAATTGTTTTTATAGAAATAAACTCTTTTAATTACAGAAGGACAGAAACATTAAAATATTCATTTTCAGTTAAAAATAATCAGAAAATAGCTCAGCAAGATTTAAACTCACAATCTGCTGGTTCACATAAAATTTAAACACTTTGGTAAAAGAGCCAAGCAATCAAGATAGCTAGACCTAGTCCCAAAGCTGAAAAAACATTAACAATAGAAAATTGGATATATAATTAAATGCAAACAAATGATAAATAAAGCTCTTCTTGTTTGTCAGTCTTCTCAGAACAAGAATATAGTATTCCCCTTAAAGAAGAAAAAATGTTCTACCAGATTTAGCTACTGCTAAATGAGGTGAAAAAAAAATATTGTTCTATAGCTTAAAATATCAAATCATTTGTATGAAGGTGAAAAAAACTATTTTTCAGCATATTTATAAAGAAATTAATTAGAATTTAAGATCCAAAATAAGTATTGCATCACTTATTAAAATAAGAACACAAATTCCAAACAATTTATAGCATATATTATTCAGTAAGCAAAACATTGTTTCAGTTAGCTGCCATTGGTTTTAGGACATACGATTTTCATATGCAGTATCATTGGCTGTGACCAAAATTAAACTGACAGTGCTCACAGTGTTCTGTAGCGCGATCTATTTGCGAGAATGACGCCACATTTTGCAGGAAGATTAAACAAGACGGGGGACGAAGGATTCCGCAAAAAAATTAGTTCCAAAAGTCACCGCTAGGGGAATATTTGGTGCTGTGTAATAGAAGATAGTGTGTTAACGAATGCAAATTAATATGGAATAAAATTTATCGTAAGTCCATTTTTCTATGAGAACATTACCCCGACAGGACCGGAAACCTGTTCTGTTACCGGAGAGAAATATCGCCACATGTTGAACAGCTTTGTCATTCCGGCACTTCAGCAAAGACAATGCCTGGGGGAAATCATTTTCATTCAAGATGGAGCCCCTCCACACGTTGCTGTACGGGTGCAACAGATGCTACGACAGAAATTCACAACAGAGAGAGTCATTAGCCGCTACTTTTCCACTGCATGGCCACCTCGGTCGCCTGATCTTACCCCCTGTGACTTCTGGCTATGGGGTTACCTTAAGTCCAAGGTCTATCAAGGAGTGGTCCTGTACCTGGCTACGTTGAAGGATAACATATCACAGACTGTATGGGAGATTCCTGCAGACATGTTACTTTCTGCTGTTGTGCATACTGTGCACAACAGAATGCAATATGTGGTCCACAACAACGGAAGCCACATTGAACTTCATTTTAATGCAAAATAAAAGGTAATTTCCGTATTGATTTGCATTTGTTAACACTCTATTTTCTATTACACAGTGCCAAAAAATCCCCCAGCGGTGACTTTTGGAACTAATTTTTTTTTCTCGGAATCCTTCATTCCCCATCTTGTTTAATTTTACTACAAAATGTGGCTTCGTTCTCACAAATAGATCTCGCTACAGAACACTGAGCACTGTGAGTTTAATTATGGCCACCCGTTATGTCTCCATTAACAATGTATCCCATTATGCACAATGATCACCGACATGTATCTCACGCACAGGAGATATGTTGCCTTGTACACACAGATTAGTGCAGGCACTCTAGATATCAAGAGATACTTTCAGGGATATGTCTTCTCATGAAGATGAGCCTTTACATGGAAGTATGCATGTGAACTTCGCAGTTTTCCATTAAGCCCTACAAAAATAGTTTAACACTTCGTTTGACGTGCGGTTGTCGCGCCCTGAAATCACCATTTTCCGAATTTTTTTTCTCCTCTTTTTTCTGAAATTTTTGAGTGAAAATGAATCGATTACTGATCTTTTGCATCTAAATAACACAAAATGACTGTAGAATCATATATGTTTTAGGTAGTAATACTTCAGATCTGCCTTTTAAAATTCGTTTTCGATGAGACAAAATAACTTCATTTTATTAATATAAATAACTTTAAATTTCAAAAGTTAGTCATCGCACATCATGATTTCTATCATAAACAATAAAAAATTGCAGTAATTAAACTGCATATATAAAAAAAATCTCTATATGTATGGCATTTGCTATGTGGTTTCAGGGTGCGACTACTGCGCCACTAGAGCATTGTGTCACAATGCTTACAATCCTCTAGAGGCTCGGTGGTCGCACCTTCAAACCACTGGCGTTTGCTTCTCAATGGCGTTCGCTTGCTTTTCAAATAGGAATGTTTATTTTTACCCGGATATAGATAAAGGGCTTTGAAACCACACAGTTATTTTATTACTAAACAATACATGCACCTGCCCAGTAAAAAGATCTTTCTTTTCCAAATACTTTTCTCTGACATCAACACACTTGCTCCCTAAGCTAGCACTGTTATTTTATAAAATTATTTCCTGTGGTTTAAATTTAATGTAAATATACTTTGCTATAATTAAAAATAGAAATTGCGTTAAAGTTTTATTTAAATTAAAAATATTTTCTGAATATTTTGGGACGAAATACGAATAAAATAAGTATGAATGGGAAACGAACGATCCGTACAAAGCCAAAAAGACAAAGCCCCTTCCCCATTAATATAAAAAGCCACAAATTTCATGTGCCAGATGAAAAGAAACTAAATAACACTGGATATATACCAGTGAAATTTAAATCCAGGCAGTGCACATTTTGTAGCACAAGGAAGAAACCTCATAGAACAAGATGTATGTGCGAAACGTGCAATGTGGGTCTATGCATGTACCAAAGAGACAAAACATGCTTTGAACAGTGTCACAAAAAAATATTTGTTCTTTGAATTAAAAAAAAATTGAGTTCTTTTTTATCCTTATTTTATTGAGTTTTTTAATCCATTTATCCAAATTTCCTTATTATGTAGGTACTTATATTTTCACTGCTATAGAAAAATTACATAAATGTTTATTTTTAAATTTTTTTGACGATTTACTTTGTAAAATAATGTAAAAAAATTATATATAATGCAATTCTTGCATACATTTTTTTAAAATCCGTAAATTTCATCATTTATTGGAAACACGTGCAGAAAATGGCAAGATTTTTTCCCCTACTACATCAGTAAGATTCAAAGTCCTAGACGTGCGGTGGCTTCACAATGCGACCACCACCCACAGAACAATGGGCAAGAGTAGATTTTTTTTAATTCATATATTATTCATCTCTAGGATCATAATATTCAATTTCTAGAGTTTTTAGTTAAAAAAATTATAAAAATAATATCGCGCGCATCAAAGGGTTAAGGACCACTGATCCTCAACTGCATATGACACTATAAAAAGTCAAAATTTTGTACTCTAGTTAATATATTTCATATTGGCTGAAGTGTGTGTATGTGTGTATTTAATTATGGCAAAGCACACTAGGGCTATCTGCCTAAGGGGAGGGATGCCTTTCGTGGAGGACTTTCTAAGGGAAACTGGCTCGTATACACGTTACACATGGGGAAAACCACGAAAACGCCCATGCAGCCAGCCCGTTCGCGGGATTCGAACCTCGGACCGAACTACCAGTGTTCAGCGTCTTTACCGCTCGGCCGCTGGTGGGCCATATTGGCTGAAGAAGTTCAGACACTGTCAAATAACAAAGAACTCTGAAAAATATGGCTATGTTATTAGCATGAATATTTAATAAGAAATAATCAATTTCCCATTTCACTAGTATTTATAAATTAATTTTTATCACTATCGCTAATATGACAACAACAGTCATAATTACTATCAGACCAACTGCAATTACCTTAAATGATGATTACTGTCAACATAATTTTTCCATGGTACATAAAAGTTCAAATCAGGTGTCCAATCCAAAACCATAAATTTAGACCCATCCATTGCAACTATAAACTGATTTGATGAATCTGAAATCTTGTAAAATTCTACATCTTCAGCAAAACGTGGTATTCTACATGGACAAAAAAATTAGAAATTAAAACTCACGAAAGAAAAAATTATTTGGGCGATATCTTAAAAATTAAAAAAAAAAAATTACATTTTTAATATATAAAAATATATATTTTAAATAGCAAACAAGTACCTGAAAATGCTTTTTGATAAGAGTTTTTCTGTCTCATTTAAAGCTTTATTACACACTGCACTTGATGACAACATCCATAAATTTCCTAAATACAATAAAGAATTTAAGTGATATACTCAAAAATACTTTAGCATTAGTTATAAAACAAGGAATATATAGAGGCTTTATCCTATATTTGCTACTCTAATGCACTTATATTTGTTTATATAATTTGGCACAGAAATTAATATAATCAGATTTCAAAACATCATATTTAAAAATGTAAGACCTTTTTATTATATTATACAACTGTTTGTATCTATGTGAATTGGGAAGTCTATACAAAAAAGACAGCACAAATCAAAACTATTACAATAAGTAATGCTAAACAGCAGTAATAACATAACTGGTTGGTCAATAAAGACTGAAATAAAAATTTTTCATGCATTTCATTTTGAGAATTATTTACCACATATTCCACTGTATAATGTGCACATTTAACATAAAAATGAGATCCAAATTTACAGGTGCATGTTATATGCTGGATATAAAAATGCTAGATTTAAAAATAATAAAAAAATGAGCTTACGAAAAGAAAATGACATGCCTTATGAACTTAAAAATTTTCATTATTGGATAACATAAAAAGTTCACCATCTTCGTCTTTCATTATATATTCAAGCACATCACCAAATTCAATTTCATCTTCACCATCATTGTTATTCTGATCCATAAGTAAATAATTATCTTCCATTCTATCTAGATTGTTAGATATACTACATTTTTAAATGACTTTTGAACTATGTTGTGCTTAATTTCCTTACATACTTTTATTATCCACTCGCATACTGTTTTTAGACTGGTATGATGCATTTGCCTTCTTTTGTAAATATTTGACCCATGGAATCTGAACATGTCCCAAACTAAAAGACTTTTCTGGATTCTTTAAGGCAAAGGACACTTTTATCAAACCTTTCTTATCCATAGTTTCACACTGTTTTCATTCCTACATCCGTTCATGTGAAAATCAATGAGAATGCTATTTCAGAAATTACATTTCAGCATAGTCTTTCTTTTAAAAATAATTATGGGTTATAATTTTTTAATGTCCACTAAGCAGGAAAGCATTATAGTGAGGTGAGATCTTTCGTAATCTACTGTTTTTATGTGACACTTTTTTGTTCCTTTTAGATCAATTGTTTTATTTCCTATCACATCAAACATTAGATCATCGTCAGTATTTCTAAATATATGACAGAAAACAATTTTTTGGTCTTCATATGTCAAAAACATACTTCTGGAAACGTATCAATTTGTTGTCCAAATCCTTAGGGAGACTGCAAAACTTCTGTTTTTATGCGTGGAGCTACAGTAGTCTATGTCATAATTTGATTAACCAACTCAAAGTTGTTTTAATTTTTTCACTTTTATTTGCATTCTTTTTTGTCCACTTTAAGACAAAGAAATGAATGCTGTTCCTTGTTTCAATTAATCTATTGTGACGATTTTATACGACTCAGTTTGCCACACTTTCTTCTGGGATAAGCCATTTCATTAATCTTTTATGCAGAGAACACTTATTATTCGGCACATTAATTATTGCGATTTCATTTTTCTCCCACTCATGTGTGAAGTATTCATCAACACCAAACATCCTTTCTGAGCCCAAGTTCCATTTTCTTCCAAAAATTGAATGACTTTGCATTTGCAACCAGTGCTATGTTTGTTTCGATTGGCAGGAGCCATATTCACTCCTAAAAGGAACACTAAGTCAATTCTATTTCAACTAAAGCAAATGCGCTTTACTAAAATCTTTGATGTTCACTCCAAAACTGCCACTTCAAATGACTAGAGAAAGAGAAAACATCGGAATCCTAATTCTGCAAATTCATTTGGGTTGGAAGTGCATTCTTACCTCAAATTATGTCCTCCTCATTTCGAAACCCTAGAATAACATTCTTGCAGAATTATTTACTCCTTTAAGCACTTCCCCTGCACGCATATTGTTCTCCTTTATCACTTGTCAATTCAGTATACTATTGTTCAAAAACCTTAAATAGATCTTTGAATGCATGACTTCAAAAGAGAAGTGAATCGCACATGTATCTTTCAGGTTTCTTTGCAAACAAAAGTGTGCATGTTATATGCCAAATACAGTCAAAAGTCGTTAATTCGGACACCCATAATTCGGAATGATCTATAATCCGGACCTCAAAACTAAAAACTTTCTGTGCATGCGCCGCGTTGACACATGCGCATAGGCATTTACGCGTGCGCATATGACCTTTTAGGACTGCGCATATGAGTGTGCGCAAGTGCAGAATACGTTTTCGCGTGCGCGTTTTATGTATAATGGACGTATAAGCTAAAATTATCTAATTATCTATTTCAGTTAATGTTGATGATTGCGTTGTTCCTTAATTTTCGAATTGGATCCGGCTTATTATTTTTTGCAGACTGTTAGAGCAATTTTATAAAAGTAAGCTTGAACTTTCGATTATGTCATATAGAATTTCTGATATATATTTACTAATATGTAAAGGATCTACAAAACGAAAGTATGTTTTGAAATCCGAAATCTGTTTATCAATTTCACGCTGCTTTGCGGCAGGGGGAGGAGAAACGCCGTGGCGCGCAGTGAATTGGAAGTTGATCTGTCAGCACTATCCATATCTTCAGGGCAGATGTTTTTATTTTATTTGGCTTATAATTCCTTACCAAATTAGTATTTCATCTCGATGTGCTCCGTCTTTGATATGATTTAAAACAAGTTCCTCGTCATTATAATTCGCTTCCGATAGTGAAGAAAGTGACAGAGGTTAGTGAAAACGAAAAAATTTCGATTGACAAATTAGTCGGTGTTCTCGACACAGCAATTATAGGACTGTAACTGAACAAGAAATTATGTCTGTTTAATAGAATTAAAGAGAAAGTATTATCACATGAAACGAAACAAAACTTAAACAACTTACATTGAAAGAAATGTTTAATAAAGTAAACAAATAAATATTAGGCTTTTTCTTTTAGCAAATTTTGATACCCTTTAGATCATAATTGTTCTTTATTTCATAAATTACGGTTTCATATTTTTAATTTTAGAATTTCTGCATGCCATCTTACGAGATTTAAACTGATGATCTATAATCCGGAAAAATCGAAAATCCGGAATCGCCGAAGTCCGACGAGTCCGGATTAACGACTTTTGACTGTATACCTAAAAGTTAAAAAATGTAGTCTGAAGTTTTAGGCGTGCATTATATGCTGGAATATATCGTACTTATCTTCTTAATCCATGTAAAGATTATCTTAGTAAAGTTCAGTAGCCGCACAAGGTACATTTTTATATCTAATTTTAATTACTTTCAATTAATACAAGTGTCATGCTTCACCCACATTTATTATTTAAAGAATAGAAAGTTCTCAGAGTACTTCAAAAATTGAAAGCTTTTACTAACAGTTTCTCAACAAAAAATATTCAATTATTATATGAAAGGGCTGTTAATACTTTTTTTGCTCTTTTTATGCTTTGCCCATTTTAATTTTTATATGTGTACAATTAGATTTTACAGCAAACTTTAATATAGTAACTTGCACATTAGTGGAAACCTATTTCAAGCCTGGAAATATGGAAATATTCATTTTCAACTAAAAAGTATTTCATATATAATGTAATACTTAGCTACTATATTAGCAGAAAAATTAAAGATAAAAAGTACTGAGTAAAAAGTCACTTAATTAAATCTAATGAAAGGTATTTGAGAATTTGGGTATTTGGTACCTCAAAGTTAATATAATAATTTAATCTAATGGAATTCACGATGTTAAACGCAAATTTTGGTGCCTGTTCATTTGGCATGTGTGGAAAGAAGTGAAACAGGGTGGCTTCAAATTCTAATTGCAAGTACTGCAAGAGCAGTTAGATAATAACTTTCTCTTAATGGATGATAATGCTCGTCCCTATCACGCTACACTTGTGACCACTTATTTTAATAAGGAATTCAGCGGATGAAGTGGGCCATATATTCTCTGGATTTAAATTCATTAGAGTAGTGGCATAGGTTCTCAACCTATTTTGGCTAATTTACTTCTTTCACCATTGCTAGAAGATCATTTCCTCTCCTTTCCACAACTCAAAAAGTATATATATATACATTTATTTAGAGTTATATAAATTTTTAACCTGTTTTATAAATTAAACAACAAACAGTACACAAAATATTGATAAATGCCAAAAATTGTATAAGAATAGTTTTTATAATCATGAACTAATACTAAATTTTTAACAGCTATATAAAAGGCTGACTGCATTTCATCCTGAAAATACAGATTTCCTGCCTGGTTGAGAACCCCTGCAATAGAGTATGTGTTAATCATCAACTACCATTACTATAGCCTCCACCTAACACTCTCCAGGAGCTTTAAGGCTTATCCACTATGAATACACTTTGTTACTACAGAAACACCTCGATAATACAGCATAGAAAATAACAGTAAAGCTTTCATTTTTGTCAGGAATAACTAACATGCTTTATTAATTTTTTCTACGAGTTTTAAAAAGTTGTAACACCAACTTTTACCTACCCTACTTCATATCACATTTCTTATGTTCTCATTTCCCTCCCCCCTAGAAATAAGTACAGTCAAAAGTCGTTAATCCGGACTCGTCGGGACTTCGGCGATTCCGGATTATCGATTTTTTCCGGATTATAGATCATCAGTTTAAATCTGGTAAGATGGCATGCAGAAAATATAAAATTAAAACTATGAAACCATAATTTATGAAATAAAGAACAATTATGATCTAAAGGGTATCAAAATTTACAAAAAAAAAACTTAATATTTATTTGTTTACTTTATTAAATATTTCTTTCAATGTAAGTTGTTTAAGTTGCTTCATTTTTTATGTGATAATACTTTCTCTTTAATTCTATAAACAGACATAATTTCTTGTTCAGTTACAAAGTTCCACTGTTCAAGTCCTATAATTGCTGTGTCGAGAATACCGACTAATTTGTCAATTGAAATTTTTTCGTTTTCAATAACCTCTGCGTCACTTTCTTTGCTATCGGAAGCGAATTACAATGACCAGGAATTTGATTTAAATCATATCAAAGACGGAGTACATCGAGATGAAATACTACATTTAGTAAGGAATTATGAGCCAAATAAAATAAAAACATCTGCCCTGAAGATAAGGATAGTGCTGACAGATCAACTTCCAATTAATTGCGTGCAGCGGCATCCCCCCCCCATCGCAGAGCAGCGTGAAATTGATAAACAGATTTCGGAATGGTTATATAAACAAAGGATATGCCTTTATCCATTTTTTTGCAGCAATTCCACTTTTTGTTTAATGGACTTCGAAACATACTTGTGCTTTGTAAATCCTTTACATATTAGTAAATATATACCAAAAATTCTATTTGACATAATTGAAAGTTCAAGCTTACTTTCATAAAATTGCTCTAACAGTCTGCAAAAAATAACCCCTTTGCGCCGATTGTCACGTCTACATTTAAGCGCGCATTTGTGCTAACCGTCGCGAAGGGGTTAATAAGCCCTTTAGAAATGTTATTCTTTTTTTGAAGATGGCCCATTTTCTAAGTAGGCACATCCTTTTTTTAACTTGTAAACTTATTTAATTAACAGCAACAACAAATTTCAGAAATTCAAGCCTTCATATTTATATTTTCAATAATAGCTTATAATGTAAAACACTGCATCTTTTAAATTTCTGCTGTTTTCTAACATGAATTCATAAACAAATCCCAACATATATTTATTAGTATGCATTATAGATTTCACATACCTGGTTTTTCTCCACAATATAAAATGATGTGGGTTTCATTCTGAAATTCCCATGGGAAAAAGTCTGTGATTGACCCTGAACACTGTTCAAGCTGGACAAGGGAACCTACTATCTGACCAGTTCCTCCAGAAACAACAGCCAAGTAGGAAATATTTTCCTCATCACTTACATTGTACGAGATGACAACGTCTAAGATTCCATCACCATCACAATCAGGCACAACCAATGGGCCAGAAATTGAATGAGCATCATTTATATCACTGTGATTATGCAAATACCATAAACTGACTCCTGGAAATAGATGATACAAATTAGTGAATGAAACATAAATAATTTGATTTTCTAATGGCAGTAATAACCTTATTAACATTGAATAAGAAAATATTTATTTCCTTAGTTCATTATAAAATTGATTATAAATTACTCTACTACTTGCATGTTCAACAAATTTTCTTCTTTTCCTTATTTTTTAACTATTGTACTTAAATAAATACAATTTCAGATTTTCCTGCATAATTCAGCCAAAAATATTTTGTACTTTGCTTAGCACTTCCAAAGGAAATAACAATTTTAACTACGGCTAAACAACAAAGGACATGACATCTGTTCCGTTAGTTATCCCAATGAAATTTCATACTTGTAGCGGCAGCGCCAAACAGGCGATATAAATTTAGTATTAGTTTAATTAAAGGTATTGGAAACAATTTTTTTTTTTTTTTAAATCATGGGAATCTACCAGTTCTGCAGCATATGCTCACTGCTTAGGAAAGTTGAATTTACAGGAAAATCTATCTTTCAAGATGATGAACTATCAGATGCTTTACTCTCCACATGAACATGTCTTCTGTGGCACTAAGGCATAAATATCAGAAGCATAACAATTTGTGCTTTTGCTGCAGAAAATAATAGTGATACCAGTTATGGAGAGGAGAAGGATTAAACACAAAATATCCACTCTAATACCAGAATTCTATGCTGCTTTAAAGTTAATAACAGTTATTCATAAGTTATTCTTTTCATGAAAATGAAAAAAAGTGTCCTGTGGAAAATTTTTTCATAAATTCATTTATATTCAAGATGAATAAAACATATCCCAAGCAATCAACAATTAGAAACTTAATTGCCTTTCTGTATGAGCTGAAACATTTGTAACAAATAAATATCTAATGTATTACAAAAGAGTTATCAGAAATTTATTATGATAAAATTCTGAAAATATATTTAGTTGAATGAACAATTGTGGCTTTTCCATTAAGCCATAGAATTATTTTCTGACCTCTTGCTTTGCATTCTAAATGCAATTTCTTAAAAAAGATTTTTAATACCTACTGTATTAAATTATAAAACTATACTTACAAGAGAACAATACAAAAAAAAATGTTATTTAATCATAGAAAAGTAGCACTTTAGCAAACCTTTCATATAGCAACTATACTAACAAACAAGAAATGCATCATAATTAAATTTCTTTAATGCTCTAAAAATATACTTTAAATTAAAAATGTAAGTTTTTAAATTAACAAAATTTATTTTTAAATATACCCATCCAACTAGTCACAACTTAAGTCTTATTTATTATTATTATTAAAAAACAAATGTTAATTGAGAAAGTAAATTTTTATGTATATATGACTTGTAACATTTTATTCTTCAATGAAATTGTGAGAAAGACAAAGCTAATATATAAGTTACTTAAAATTTCTCAGACAGTCAGCTACAGACACAAGCATAAGTCCTTTAGAATAATCCATCTAATGGTTAGGCCCCTGTCAAATACTTTATAACTAGCATACATTTTGAAAAAGTAATTTAACATAAAGAAATAACATAATACATTCGAATAGCTCTGTTGTACAAAATATACATATACTAGGTTAACACTTGCAATGTCTTATAAGAATGATCAATTCTATCAAGATTTCCACATAGTAAACAGTTGCGGGAAAAGCTTCAGATTCGAGTCTCATCTCTTGCTTACATTTTATTACTGCAAGTCATTTTATTGTGTGTTACATTTGAAAAAGAAATAGCCTAAATGTGCATGAAATCATATTTAAAAGAGAAAATGTTACCTTTTTTAATATCAACTGCAACAAGAAGCCCATTGCTGCCTATCACTAAACATTCAGGGATTCCATCAAGATTTACATCAATGATATTGCAAATGGATGAGAAAGGCGTGGAATGAAATGGTAGTCTCCACTGTTCCTTACCAGTGGATTCCTGAACTGCTAGCAATCCAGATTCTTCATCAGTCAAATAGCCAAATATTATCAGACGCTTCTTTAAAAGACGGCTACTCACAAAATCCAATGGAGAAGTGAAAGCTGTGGGCAGTTAAAATTTATAATAATGATAATTATGTATTTTATATTTTTAGAAATCTTTTAAATACACCCAAAAGTTTAAAAAAAAAGTCTTTTAATTCACCTACAAGTTTGACTACAAATTTAAAATATTTAGAAAAGGCAAAGCAAAGCAAAATAATAATATTTCTTAAAAATGTTATGGCTTTTATAAATTAATGATTAAGACACTAATTAAGTTGCTTGCAGGCCCAAAATGCTGCAGATGAATTTCCATATTGCCATGAATGAACTTCGGAGTTTTTTAGTGCCAGTTATTCTTTTCTTGAGGCATTTGTGACTTACTTGGTTAAAACTGAAAGTACATCCTTGAAATCAAACATATAAGCAGGAAAACACATGTTTTCAGTTATAACTGCAAACACTGATAATGTTTTTAATTGACACTGTAATAATGTCAAAACTAAACTTCTTGTGGAAGCAGATAGAAATTCGATAGCCATTTACATCTCATCATAATTATAAAAAAGGGTATAGTACTGGTCAAGCGATTCTCTTAATAATAGCAGACAAATATATCACCTGAGAATCCAGCTTGTTTTACAAGATGTTACTGAAAAGAACACATGAAAAGTGCACAATTTTTGGAAATTTTAGATGACATGTCCAAATAAGGATGAGCTGAGGGCTGATCTTCATGATAAAATTATGCCAAAGCCCACATAAAAATTTAAGATTTATTAACAACCGGAATATGATATGCATTATTGTTGCATCAGACAAATTTATTTTTTAATCCCAAATATACATTATTTGGGAAATATCAGTATAACATTTTTGATGTAAAGTTAAAAACTTGTTTTCTGAAACCAATTGCATCTATTTCTAGTCTGACATAGAGGTTATAGATTAGGGAAAATGTATTCAAAATATTTCTTTTGATAATTTTAATTTTATGTTACTTTTTGTATGCTTCTTATATGAAAAATATTAATTGTAAATATATATGCTTTCAGAAAAAAACATTGTGAATGGCAAATAGTCATGAAGCATTAACAAGTTATCTTTAGGTAGATACAGTTTTAAAATATAGTTTACTTGAGTAAATTTTGATTGAACTGGAAATCTCTACATTCCAACTGCAAACTTTCGGTCAAGTTCATTGTGAACTTAAAATGAGGCATACAATATAACAAACAAACAAAACAGTTATTATTTTCTAAAATCTTGAAATCTGTTTTTATAGTCTTCTGCTAAAATCAGCCAATACTGTACAATTTTCACTGCCTGAATGATTTTCATACACAGAATTAAAACTTTTTGCTTTTGATGCCACAGTAGCTGTAGTTTCAGTTTAACAATCTTTGATACATTATTTATTAAGTTGCTTTTAGCTGTAAAAAGTATGTTCAGTTCTGCTAAATGAGCCATCAATAAATATCCTTTAAAAAATAATCATCCAACAAATTATTATTTTCAAGTACAACATCTCACGTGCTTGACCTTGCATTAATTTTTCAGTTATATTTCTGCAGGCAGGTTGGACACATCTGAAGCAGAATACAATGAAAGTCATTATATTATAATAGAAAAATTCATTATCTCATAAGGATTGCTTTCTTTTATAGTTTAAGCTATTTCTAAGTTTATATTCTAATTACACTATAACAAAGAATAGTTCAAATAAAATCCATTTTTAATTTTAAATCAGAAAAATATAGAATTTATTCATTTTGTTGTAAAAAGTTACCTAAACTCAACTTTCCACTAAAAAAAGTAAAAAACTACACTACTCTCTCTCCCCCACCTGCAATTTCTTTCTCTCTCTCTTCCCCCCCTTTATACAGCATTTTAAAAACAGAAATAAGGAAATCAAATTTGTTTCAATGCTGTTTATAGTAACTGAACTAATTTCACTAACATTTTTAGATATATTTTGCTATAAACAGATGTAAGCAAAATTTTGAGAAACATAAGCATGTTTTGTGCTTTACCAATCAAATATATAACTTAAATAATGCTAAAATTTTGAAACTTACATAAGTTAAGGAATGTTTTCTGCCATCTGTAATTCAGACTGCAGGTCATATTTAGGCTGCCGTGCATTGAACATGGTATAAAAAATACAAAAATAATTACAAATAAAACACACAATATCAACGAGAGTACAAATAGCAGAATTCGGAGTGGGGACATAGGAAGAGTTTTTGTAACCACATCATCAGTTTCAGACTGCCTGATATTATTTGACAAGCCTTCACAAGAACTGAAAGCATTTTTGAAGCCTAGTTTGTCAACTTTATCTTCTTTGGTTGGACCAGATTCATCTTCATCACTTTGGTTTTGTGATAATGGCATATAATGCCTGGGTGTCGCATTCAACTTCATGGCTTCTGTAACAAAACAAAGAAAATGAAATTATACTGCTGCAAAGAGAACACAGATCTCTTTAATACAAGGTAAAATTGAAAATAATGCTTAATATATTAATTAAAAGTATAACTGTTTAGAGCTCAGATATTATTATATATATGAATGAATTTCTAATTATTTTGCAACTGAATGGATGTCTATGCTTATTTAATAGTATCCACGTATTGCACAAAGATACTTCAAATACAGTCAACTCCCAATTAATTGGTTAATATTATAGATGATGCCTACAGTTAGCTCAAAGTCATGGTTTATCCGACAGCAGTTAAAGAAACACAGGAAAGAGGAACAAAAAAGAGATCATGCATTCAGCTTAATGTATGTTATATCTTCTACAGCATAATGTATGTTTCAAGCTTGGTCAGTTTCTTCCGAACTCATGTATACTCACACATTCTCCTGTATAGCCTCTAAGTTCGGAACTACTCTGATATGCACCCTCAAGTCGCCAAATTTCTCGCCAAACATTTTTGGTGAGAAACTTCATGCTGCCATATTACTATCTAAATTTTTTGTCTACATTTCGAACTTTAAGCCTAAAATGTCTCCAAAAACGCGGTTTCCGCACATGCAAAAACTACATTTTGAACACATGATTTAAGCTAAAAATCCGAAACAAAAACAAAAAATTTAGATAGCAAAAACGTAAAGTTTCTAACCAAAAATATTTGACAAGAATCCATGTACACAGCGACATGTTTTAACTTAAAAAAACATCTACGAATGGCACAATGTAGGCAACGAACAAATCTACGAACTACGCACACCTCGCTTTAATAAATTAACATAACAACAAAAAATTTCAAAGAATACCATGTACACAGCATCCTGTTTAAACTTAAAAAAACATCTACGAATTGCACAATTTAGGCAACGAACAAATCTACGATCTACGTACACCTCGCTTTAATAAAATAAGCGAATTAAATTACAATTGTATAAAAAATATCATTCATAATGTACCTGCATTTTCAAGCTGTTTTAATCTGGACAGAATTTTGGTTGCATACATTACATGGGTATTAAAAAATAATGAAAGGATTAATATTATTAGAAGTTGAAAAACTAAGTTATAAATGGCATAAAGAAACAACATTTACAAGAGACATGAACAATGTCACCGAGTTCAAACTTGCACAAAAAAAGTCCATTAGAACTTTGCAAAGGAGGCAGCCAAATCGGCTGACACAGATGAGGATGCCACATTAAAGCCGATCACCTTTATGAAGCGGCACTCGCTAGAGCTGTTAATAACAGAGTGGCAAAGGAGATGGTACCAGGGCACCATGGGTCGTCGAGCTTACAAGTTCATACCGAAAGTGAGAACAGAGGTCCAGTCTATCTCTTATATGACACAATTTCTTATGGGACATGGTCCATTCCTTACATACAAATATTGCTTCGGCTTCGTAGACAATGACACCTGCGAATGTGGTGAGGTTGGCGACCCAGACCACCTCCTATTCTCATGCAGCCTCAGAGAACGGTACAGGCTAAAAAAGCTGAATGATGACAGCTACTGGTCTCACTGGCTAAAGACCACTAAAAAACTCAAGCAGGATTAGCTAAAGATCAAGGCTGTAATAGACGAGTGTCTCATAATGTATAGGGAGGGGCACACCAACAGAAGGGTGCACACCGTCGGTAACCACACTTAGCGCCGCTACAGATCTTGTATATTTTCAAAAGTACTAATGTATGTTAAATGTTATATTGTACATCTCTACAGCATAATGTACATCTCATGTTTTGCCAAATGGCTGCCACACTGTTCTTTCCGTTCTCATGTGTTTTCATGTTTCTTTTAGCCTTCATGTATACTCACGCATTCTCCTGTATAGTTTCATAAGTCTGACACAGATATTCAGTTTAATGTATATTATATGTACTCTTGTACACTTCTACAGCATAATGTATGTTTCAAGTTAGGTCAGTATCCTCAGCATTCATGTATATTCACACATTCTCTTGTACAGCCTCTAAAGTACTAATATTCAGTTTAATATATGCTCTATGTATTGTTGTAAATCTCTACAACATAATGTATGTATCAAATTTGGTCAAATGGCTGTCACATTGTCCCTTTTTTTAAAATTTTTTATATTCAGTTTGATGAATGTTATATTTATTTTTATACACTTCTACAGCATACTGTATGTATCAAGCTTGGTCAGTATCTTCAGCATTCAAGTACATTCATGCATTCTCTTGCATAGCTTCTAAAGTACTAATATTCAGTTTAAAGTATACTATGTGTACTATTGTAAATTCTATAGCATAACTTCTCCAACATAATGTATGTACGTTATGTATCATATTTGAACCGTACTCACGTGCCTCCATGTTTCTTTCAGCATATTTGTATATCATGCACTCAGCTTCAGCTTAATGTACGTTATATCATGCATTCAGCTTAATGTATGTTATATCTTCTACAGCATAATGTATGTTTCAAGCTTGGTCAGTTTCTTCCGAACTCATGTATACTCACACATTCTCCTGTATAGCCTCTAAGTTCGGAACTACTCTGATATGCACCCTCAAGTCGCCAAATTTCTCGCCAAACATTTTTGGTGAGAAACTTCATGCTGCCATATTACTATCTAAATTTTTTGTCTACATTTCGAACTTTAAGCCTAAAATGTCTCCAAAAACGCGGTTTCCGCACATGCAAAAACTACATTTTGAAGTCATGATTTAAGCTAAAAATCCGAAACAAAAACAAAAAATTTAGACAGCAAAAACGTAAAGTTTCTAACCAAAAATATTTGACAAGAATCCATGTACACAGCGACATGTTTTAACTTAAAAAAACATCTACGAATGGCACAATGTAGGCAACGAACAAATCTACGAACTACGCACACCTCGCTTTAATAAATTAACATAACAACAAAAAATTTCAAAGAATACCATGTACACAGCATCCTGTTTAAACTTAAAAAAACATCTACGAATTGCACAATTTAGGCAACGAACAAATCTACGATCTACGTACACCTCGCTTTAATAAAATAACGTAATAACAATAAATTTCAAATAATACCATGTACACAGCATTCTGTTTCAAAAACAACAATAACGACAGAAATTTATACTAAAGAACCAATGAACATAACATTCTACAAAATAAGAACAAGAATAAAATAAAATGCACTTACCATGAGTTAATGCTTTTTCGAGCAGCAGAAATACCAATTTCATACCGCCACATACTCACTATCGTATTTACATGACAGCCAGACACACTCCAGAAAATTCATACTATGGTTCAAAAATAAATAAAATCACAAATCCCTACTTCTATCATGCACAGCCATTAAAATAATCTCCCAGATCCTCTTTCCACACCTCCAAATACCCACTACCCCTCAACAGGATGGCCACAATGATATTTCCTTTTGCCGAACTTCAATTCAACAACTTCTATTATTTTATCTTTCCCTCCCATCTTCTCAGACACAGAGGCGAATCAACGAGCTCCAGCGAAAGACATTTCAACGTCAACAGGGTTGCCATAGAACATGCAATCGTGCCAAAAACCAGCGCAGAACACATATCGCCACATTTGGTGAAATTAGGGCTTATATCAGAGTTGTACCCTAAGTTCTAATATTCAGTATTCTAATATTCACTATGTCATAAAGAAATTGTCTGCATTAAATATGATTTAATATTTGCTATTACAGAAATGAAATCCATGTCTCACAAAGAAAACCATGTCTCACAGATTCATTTCAATGCATTTATAAATGTTGATATTTTCAGAAATTAAAATTGTCTGATCACTTTTGCCAAAAATTGCATGTTTTCTGGCAGACACTTGATATTTTATCATGACCAAGAAGACAAGAAAGAATACATTATACAAGAAAAATACATGTCTTTTGTCAGACACTTGACCTTTTCTCAAAGAAAAATAGTATCAAATGATAACTATTCTGTGAGTCTTTTTATGAGCCTTCCCATAAAAATTGTTTAGAAAATAGAAAAGAACATTTTTATCTGCGAACTTGAAAATTAGGCTGATCTTTGGAATATGGTAACATGTAGTTTGGCGACATTTTGGAGGCAATAAAGGTTACTACATAGGACTTTGGTAATAATGTGAGAAGTACTCAGTTCCAATTACGCATTACTTTGTGTGCGGGAAATGAGATATCATGAGATATGTCATGTGACATTAATGGACGAATTACAGTTCTTTAATCGGAAAAGGGGTAAATTTGGAAAAATTATTTTGTATTAAGCTTCATTGTATGTTGTGTGAAATAGTGTTGATTAATTTTCGGATTGCATGGCGCTATGTTAAGTGAATTCTGAATTTTTAATGCATTTATCTGATAATAATAATAAGTTGAGATTGTGTGAAAGGAAGGATATTACAGATAAGTTTGAATGGCAGTGCAAGAAATCTGGTGAAAATGGACATTTTGTGAAACGGAGTGTAAGGAAGGGTACGTGGTTTGCTGATAGTTTGAGTATAGGTGAAATTTTATTAATTTCTTATTACTTGGTGAATAGACTGCCAGTTGACTACTGGATTTCGGATTTAGAGATTAGCAGGTAGTACTGCAGCCGATTGGAACTCTTTCTGTAGGGAAGTGTGCCTGCCACGTAATGAAGATTCTGAAGAAGATTAGGTAAGTTAGTATTTTTAATCATTTGAGGATATTTTTATGCATTGTTCTAAATGTAAGGAGTAAATAAATTAATATGGTATTATTGGAAAATTGTTATTAGCAATGATTTAGTTTAAAGTAATTAGGATTGTAATCTAATTTTTATTAATTTAATGTATGTGCTTATTTATATTTTAAGTAGTAGTTTTTAATTTAATTATATTTTAATTTAATGATCATGATTTTGTGAGTTATATGTTTGTAGTATTTTGGAATACGTTTGAGTAGTATACGTTGAGTATTTTCAGGCATTTTCATGAAATTTTTCTAATTTATGAGAAAAAAGCAGTGTACATGGATATAGTGAAGAGTGTGCGTAATGCCATTTTTGTGCAATTCTGGGATGTTTTTATAAGTAAAAATAAGTTGATGTGTACATGGTTTAGTTATATTTTAATTAAATGATAGTTATTTTGTGAATTTTATGTTTGTAGAAATTTGGTATACATTGTTTCAGTTGAAGTAAACGTGTATGGAAATAATTTAAATATTTGACACTAAGTATTTAACTATTTTTAACGTTTGCGTATAAATTCGTTGGTGACATTTATAATATAATAGGTAATTTAGAGGTAAAAGTTTTTGGATATTTTATTTATTTTATAAGTGGAAATGTTCATCCTTGGAAAGGGTATATACTTTTTCGCGATCAGGTAATTTCATATATGTGCTTTTTACCGGATTTAAAGATTCACAAAATTTTCATGCATTTTCGTGAAAATTTTTCTAATTTATGACAAAACAACCAGTGTAGATGGATATAGTTAAGAGTGTGTGCAATGCCATTTTTGTGCAATTCTGGGATTTTTTTTAAGTAAAAATAAATTGACATGTAAATGGTTTATGTGTATGTGCTATTCTGAAAAACGCACAAGGAGTTTGCGATGCACTTTTTCCCAATTTTGCAGTTAATATTTGTCATGATTAAGCAGTTTTGTTCCATAAAATTTCTAGCATAAGTGTAATTCGGCTAGTAGATTGTTGGAAAAAGTGTTGAGTAAATAAAAAGAAAAGAAACATGTCTTTACTTCGTGAAGACAAAATGGCGGCGAAAAAAAAAATAGAGGGTTTGCATAGCAGAGTTGGTCGCCAAATTTTCGCCAAAAAATCGCGAAGTTACCATAATCCAAAGATCAACCAAAAATTGTATTCACTGAGTGAAATAGAGATAAAAAAGCATAACAGAAAATAATATAAAATGTCAAGCAGTATGTTAAAAACCAATAAAAAATGCTGTATGAAAAAAGAAAATAATATAAATACATTTGCACTCACCAGCACAGAAAATGCCGTATGTTATGTAACTCATTTTGTTTTCAAAGTAGATCATATATCTATGTCAAAATTCTTGCAAAAACTAAAGCACTTTATTTCATTCTTAGATTACAGTGCTTTTATTGCAACTGACAGTAAAACAACCTCATCAACCACACTGCTCAAATACAGTAGATGGCAACTTTAATTTATTGAATAAAATATAAAAACTGAGAATGAAATTCAAAAGCACACCACATATTAAAAAAAAAAAAAAAAAAAAAAAACAGATCTTTTCATACTTACCAGTTAAATACAGTTAAGTACTAATTTTTATTTATATAAGTATGTAACACTGAATTTTCAATTTATTAAATGTAACTTTATGCTTAATAATATTCTAAATGTTAATTACATTCAATCATTTCCCAGAAAGTTATTCTATTTTATTTCTCTTGATAAAAAATACAATGTACATATGCTTTATGAAATTATTACACATATGGCAAGTCACAGTTTCAAATTAAATGCAAAAGAATTTGACTGTATTACATAGCAGTTACAGCATTGTTCCTATAAGTTATTTTGAAGGTTTACCGTAGTTTATCTTTCTTTGGAAAGTTTCATTTTAATTTCAATACTTTTAAAAGGTACATGAATAGAATATCAATAATCTGCCACCAGAAAAACAACATATCTGCATATGTATCAAGAATTTTGCTTTTATATGCAAATCTCCGTCATTTTCCGTATATGAAAATAACATAATAAGCTTTAAATATCAATCATCAAAGATGCCATGGTTGGGAATATTATTCAGAGGACAGCTTGCTGGCTCTCATGCGATAATGATAACAGTGATTTCTTTGGAAGTACAATAGAAGTTCTCCCATTACTAAATTAAATTCAGAAACATTTGTGCATTTAGTGATAAGGCCGTCCCAAGTGAGAAATTTCGTAATTCATATGAAAAAGTAACTATAGGTCATGGCCAAATTGTCTAAACAGGGCTACAATGAAAACAATCAAATATTCCACTTGCATGTCAGAGATGTTATACTCATTCTGAGAAGAAATGATAAATTACTCCTAGCGCGAAATTTATTAAACTATTGCTTTAGCCTTACATTCCATAAAAACACAAACGAAAAGAAGTTATCGCAAGAGCAGAACGGAACAAAAACTACAAGATCAATTCAGAGATATATAGAAACAATAAAGAATTATCTTAAAAATCATTGTTTGTTTACTCACTTCGTACATATCAGCCGATAATAGCTGTCAACAAAGTAACAAAACTACACATTCGCAGCATCACAAACCTTTTCCCTCAACAGACGAACTCGTCTTCATATCATCCAAATAAAAGCATGGAAAAGTCTAAGCACACCAGGTGGCGCTACTGAGACCCTCCGCAGATACGTAACGTTCATAGAGATTTGCTTTAGGATTACACAATGTAATGTGAAAATAGTAATTAACTCGTAAACATCATATATATAACTGAAATACTAATTATAAAACCAAGTTTGCTTGCCCTTTGATTTTCCGTGCTGGAGTATTTTCAGTTAATGATCATAACTCAAATTCAGTTTCTATAAATTCTACAGGAAAATCAGATATTTAAATTCTTATAATGAGCATCTTCATTTATTTATTCACATGTTTATTCTGAGTATACAAATAAGCGTGGTGAAATACAAAGGCATTTTTTTTTTTTTTTTATGGTCATCAACGAGCTTTGCTCTCATTCCAGTTACGCACCGGAGTGGGCTCATACGAACACAGTTCGCATTGCAAATTTAAGACTAACAGATATCGCTCATATCGGGAAGAAAAAAATTGCGTAATCTATAACCAGAGAATGGTTATAGAAAATTTATGTTAAAAGATAAAAGATCATGAAATTTTACATCTTTACGCCCAGAAGTTGCAGGGAGGAGAGTGATTACGGTACAGAAAGTAATTTAAATCCCGAGTTATATTAAGATTCTGAGTACACAGAAAGCAGAGACACGTATTTCCAAATCCTAAACCTACTTTGATATCACGATAATATTGACTAATTTCACCTCGTAAACAGAAGGCGCCGTACCCCACTTGCGTTACTACGGCGTGCTTTCCAGTGAAACATGGGTGTATAAGATCTATTGTGTGTTCTTGTTTACGGATATTTTCTTAATTTCTGACAACTCGAAATTTAATCGAAATGTTGAATGAATAAATGGCGTTTGTAGGTATGCATATTTAATCGCTACGTCTAAAGAAACAGGAGATGAACAGTTGAATAGTGAACATAAAAAGTATAATCGATATTGAAGGTTCAGCTCATAGTAGTAAATGCGATGCATTCGTCGCGAAATTTATCAACCCCAGTAAAACAAACTGGAGTGTTCGCGAGACTGAGTCAGATCTTAAGTCACTGTAAAAAGCTATGTGTTTGCCAGCAGTGATTTTAACAAAAAAGCACTGGCAGATACTTCAGGTAAATTCAGATCAGGGAATCAAAATTGCAGTGCATCCGTGTGCATTAAAATTAGGAAGTATTCTCAAGATTTCCTTGCCAAAAGAAAAGTTAGCAAACAAATTAATACATTTTCATGCTTTGTTTAGTGTATATATTTCAAAATTATTAAACTAACTTACGCAGTTGTTTGATTCTTAGAAATATAATAAATTAAAATTTATCTTGTAAGGTATTTTCTCCCTCCTTCCAGCATGCCTTCGTAGTGTAACGGTAGCACACTCGGGGGGTATTCGAGAAGTCCAGGTTCGAGTCTCGGCAAGGGCATTGCTCATTTTTCAAGTCTCCAGCTTCAAAAATCCTAATTATTCTGCAGTGGCACCCGAACTAAAAGGTGGTGAACAATAATTTGTCATCACCAGGATTTGGCAATTGCACCCCCTAATCCCCAGTCCACCTTTAAAAGGGGAAGTATATAAGGTATTTTCTCCCTCCTTCCAGCATGCCTTCGTCGCGTAAATGTAAAACGCGCGTATTCCTGAGGTACAGTTAGAGGGGCATTGCACATTTTTTACATCACCTGCTTTGAAATTACCTAATGACTCTATAGGCCATAAAGAAATACAAATAACATAATAATTATCAAAACATTATATTGTTTTGATGAAACATTGAAGTATATTAAATTACTAGACTTTATGACATTAAGTGTGTTCGTAACCGTGTTAATATATTTTGTTTCATAAAAGCTAAATTAATTTTATTTATTTGTTATACATGAAAAATTTTCTGATCTATTTAATATAGTTATCAGAATTCTCACTTGTTAAATGTCTTAAGAATTTTCATAAACGATTGTGCAATATTTTCACCTTGGTGTCTAGAAAGGAAGGAAAAGTAACCCATATGATTTCAGCATAAGCATTTTATTTTTTTCAAATTTCTGCGTTTAGTAGACAAAAATTACATTTAATGGGTATGTGTGTGCATTTGTGGTGATGTTAACACAAATGCGTTTAAAAGTATAGGGAAAGTTCAGAAAATGGAGGCTAGTTGAGCATATAAAAATGCACTTTATGGTAGAAAGACCAAAGGAATGGAAGAAGAAACTTCTGGTTTAAAATTTTAAGAACAGTCACATTATTTGTTATCTGCCTGAATATCAGAAGTTTCTATTTAATATTATGCAAAATTTTGAAGGAACAGTATGCGATTAATCTTTATAATACATATTAAGTGGTTTGGATATTTAAGTAACAGTTTGTATGACAATAAAGATTGTTGGTTAATTGTCTGAAGATGACCAGCAGCTTTCTAAAAGTTTCGAGGTAACAGTTTGACAAACACATGCAGCAGATTTCGCCAAATACAGTTTTACGTATTAAGATATATTTGTATCCACTTTTCATTAATTTAATAAAATATGTTCCGTAATCTGTTTTACTTTAAACTAATTTGATGTTTACAGTATGAATTTTACATTTTTTTAAATGAAGATTCCAAAATTTCCAATTGAGAGATTAAAAGAGAACTTATTTCTTCCTCCTTGCTGCATGCCTTCGTAATGTAACTGGAAGTACATTCGACGTGTATTCGAGAGGTCCGGGGTTCGAATCCCGGCAAAGCACTTAGGATTTCTTCAGCTTCCTGACATAGAAAAATTCTAAAAGACTCTACAAGTGGTGTCCGAACTAAAAGCTGGGGGAAGATAATTCATCAGCACCAGGATTTGGCGGTTGGATCCACTCATCCCTAGTCGCCCTTTAAAAGGGAGAGTACATAAGGTATTTTGTCCCTCGTTCCAGCTTGCCTTCGAAGTGTAACTGGAAGCACACTCGAAGCTTATTTGGGAGGTCCACAGCTCGAATCCCGCGAGGGCACTGCACATTTTTCATTTTTCACCTTCCTGCATCGATATAAACCAATGACTATATAAATTTTCATCCAAGAAAAAGGATATGTTTACAAATACGTATAGAACCTATATTTTTTTAGTTATTTTCCATTTTCATACGTGTTTGTTTCTCTGATTCGCTATTTCTTCTGCATTTTTGCTCAGAATTCTTCTAATTTGCTTCTAAATTGCTAAAATGTACTGACGTGTTAGATACATAAATTTATTCTGGAAAATCAAATTTTTATACATATTTGTTGTGCTATTTCAGTGGGCTCACCAGCGGTGGAGCAGTTATGTCACTGAACACTAGCGGTTCAAACTGGGTTCGATTAAAGGTAAACGGACTTGTCTGCACGTACGTTTCGCAGTTTTACATGTATAATATGGATACCAATCAGTTTTCCTTACAAAGTCCCTCAGAAAGTCATCCATTTCCTTCGGCAACTATCCTTTGTGTGCTTTCCTGTAGTCAAAGAAGCCAAACCAAACCAGCTTTTTGTTTTAGTAAAAGTTTTGATCTCGATTTCAGTACATTATAAAGCATCTGATCACCTGTTTTTCGTCCTTATTTCAAAGGCAAAGCCTTATCGTTGAGCTGAAACATTGAGACAAAAGTGGAAAAATGCTGCTGGAAATGTAATTACGAACAGAATCAAAAAGCAGACTGCATCTCCAAAAACTATGGGTTATTTGTTCTGATAACATTCATTTTAAAATATTTTAGCGTGTATTTTTCATCTCTGTGACAAAAATGAAGTATTTTCATTCTGCTGAAATAGTAAAAATATGGAAATTTTCTAATAGAAATATAATTCAACATAGAATCAAAAACTGGGAAAAGGGAATCAGAAGATGTAGGCTGGTCAACAAATTATTATAAACCGAAGATCACCAAATATACATTTCCGGAATAAAAGACAACATATTTCCATAACCTATTCTATATCTGAAAGTAATTATGTACTATCTGGTACTATATAGCATTATGTACTAAACATCTTTTCCGGTCATAAAATCCAGTTGACCATGAGAACTGGCATAGATCCCGCTAAACTTGGTTCACTCACTCTGGCAGAAATTTGAAAGAAATAATTGTACTTTATTTAGTTACATATTCAAGAGCTGCAAGTTACGGATATAGCATATAATAAACTTAAATCGCGTGTTGTAATTTTTCATGTTTCACTGCTGTTGTTTATTCATTTTCAAATACAGTCACATATCAGGAGTCAATGAACGATATTCTTGATGGTTGGAACTATTTGCTTAGCAATTTAATGCTTTAAGTGCTTTAAATTTTTTAAAAATATTTTGGCTAATTGAATTGGACTTTAACTGTTATTGCTAAGTAAATAGGACAAATACACTTGCTTCATGTAAATATTGTCTCCCCTCTAGAGAATGAAAAATTCATAAATGCACATGTAGAAATGTTGCATTTGTTACATAAAGCATTTATTGCTAGTACAGGGTGATCTTTTTTAAAGTGACAGCGTTTGGAGTGCCCTGTAGCGCGATCTAATAGCCGAAATGGCACCAAACTTGGTATTTAGACTAATCAATACATGGGACATCAAGACATACAATCGTAAAGTTAAATTATTAATGTTTATTTACTACATTAACTTCCCCGGTGAGGAATTAGACCGCATTCAATGTGAGCACCGTTCTCAGAAATAACACCGTGCATTCTGTGCACAACGTTCTCCACAGCCGTATGTAACATATCACGAGGAATATTCCTCACTGTCTTTGTTATGTTGTCCTTTAGAATAGACAAATTTGATACTCCACCAACATAAATTTGAGATTTCAAATAACTTCAGAGCCAAAAATCGCATTTCGTGAGGTCAGGGGAACGGAGCGTGAGGTTAGGGAAGCTGCGGATGCAATTCATTGATTCATGTAATACAGCTTCACCTATAACACACGTTCCGGTAACGTGAGAGACATGTCCACTGGAGCTCGTTTACTTCAGCTGAGATTATTTGTCGGAGCTGTCTACGACTTGCTTTTATAACCCCTATT